CTACAACTAGGCACAATGTGGTTTTGAAGATTTTGTTGGCTGTGCGCTCTCACGGATAATACCTCTCATATGTTGTAGAGAACTCTCAATTAAGCTTAGTTGTATAGGCTTTCTAATAGATATTCTTTTTGGATGGCTTTCATAGCACAAAAAGGAGATGCTTTACTCCCATTTTTGAAAAGGTTTAGTTTGGAGGATTCTAACTTGCCCGATTAAGAAAGCATGATTTTGTCATCAGATAGTAGATGATTGGCTCATTAATCAATAAAGTTAGTCAATCCAACATACACCAGACGGTAAAGAAATTTGACTCATTAATCAATAAAATTATTCCATCCAACATAACTGGATGATTATTATGTTCAACTAAGGGTTGCTTCGTTTAAGAAAAAAATTAGAGATTAAGGTTGGAAGTTGATCGAGAGCCAATTTTAGGCTTACTAAGGTTATCAAAGAGTTAAATGCAATAATTAGAATTAAAAATCAAATGTTCCCATTATGGAAAAGATTGGGCTCTTGCCATTAGCATAATGGTGTCATCCCAATCTGTTTGGTGCGTCGCAATCAAGCTAAATATACAATTACAAAACTCATGCCACATTCCTATTGGCATTGAATTTTGCGATTAATTTTTTATTTTCTTGATATGATATTAGGCCATTTGTATGTTTCCGCCAAATTTTAATGTTGCATTAGTCGGCTTAATGTATTGGTTGGAGTTTGCTCCAACCATGGAACATCCAATTTATTTTATGATATTTTTTGGGTTTCTTCATTTTTTCAAATTTATTTTAGTACTTTTTATGACATTTTAATTGTTTTTTTTGTGGAGTGGACGAAGGCTAACGAAGGTTGAATATTGTGGACTAGATGTTTTGGTGTTTGCTTTAGGAAAACGTTGGGCTGGGTGAACTAAGGGTTCGTTTGGTTCGGCGTCTGGAGTGCGGTGCAGGGAACGACCGCGAATTTCGACTGTTTGGGACGACGTCTGGGCAGCGACATCCCACTATTTTGGTTAAACGCTAGCCGCAGATTGAACCCTATGGCCCGCGTTCGAGGGTTGGCTTTTTACGAATCTTAACCATTTGTTGTTCGATCCCAGCGTTTGACCCCTTTTGTTCGACGTCGTTGCTTTGCCCTAATCCCTCTCTGTTCGACCCCAACTCCTCGTTGCTTATCATTTGTTGACGATGCCGCCCTCTTTCCATTCCTCTGTTATAGAACAATAGCCACATGCAACACAAAAACCACCCACCACATACCACCATCACACCACAATAGCCACAACCAACACAAGAAGCTCCCACACATAGTCACAGGCATCACAATTCTATTAACCACAAACACAAGTTCACTCTTATAGCCACCACAATAACCACCCACACCACACATCACAACCAAAACAACAACCAACCACACCACAGGAACCACCTACGCCTTGAAAATAGCCAAAAGAAGAACCACTCACAACACACAATCACCACGATCAACACAAGAACCACCAAATCTATAAGCCCCAATAGCGAGACAACAAGAACAAACAACATAAAAGGAGCAAGGTAGGGGATAGGAGATGATACCCTGCGGTTTGGGAGGGCGTCAGGGAGGTAGGTGCGAGGAGGGACGACGTCGTCGAGCAGCAGAGGAATGGAAGGAGGGACGGCGTCGTCAACAATAAAGGCACAACGAGGGAGTTGGGGTCAAACAGAGAGGGATTAGGGCAAAACAGCGGAGCCAAACAAAAGGGGTCGAACGACAGAGGGGTAAGATTCGTAAAAAGCTAACCCTCGAACGTGGGCCAGGGGATTCGATCTGCGGCTGACGTTTAATCAAAACAGCGGGGCGCCGCTGCTCAGACGCCGTCCGAAACGGCCAAAATTCGAGGTCGCTCCCCTCACCGCGCTCCGAATGCCGAACTAAAAGAACCCTTAATGTCACCAACAAATTTCATGGCGCTGAGGGTGAATTTTAGGGAAATGTACATACATACCACAATTTGTATGTATTTACATGTCTAATGCCTAAAGTTTGATATTTACATTCATAACACTTTGTTATTATAAAGCTATGCATGGAATGATGTATTTCATTTATTTTTTAAAGTTAGTAATGGTGGTATTTTTATGTGATGTTAAAGATTTGAGTGGTATTTATGTAAATATCAAATTTTGTCTGGTAGATATGTAAATATATAAGAATTGTGTGATATGTATATAAATGCCCCTCAATTTTGTTGTTAAGGTGGTTAGGTCATTTTTCCTGATACATTATTTGGCTTTTTGACTCTGAGGAATTTTTAATAAGTTGCTCGATTTAATCTTAAATTGAGTAAGCTGGCACGAACCTTGTGTTCGGTGACCTATGGATAAGTTTGGTTCGAAATTTAATGTCATCGCAACATTTATTGTGTTAAGTTTTATTGCTAAGGGGTGGTTAAGTCATTTTTCTCTGGTCCTATTATTTGGCTTTTTGACTCTTAGAAATTTTCTTTTATTTGCTGAATTAAGGAGCTGGCGAAGTCATAAACTTCTCAAACGGGCGCCCATTCTTCAATCTTGTTTTTTTTTTTGGGTTTATTGTTAAGGAAATCTATCAATGGCCCAATTATTTTTATGATAAATTTTCAATGATTATTTTCACTCGATGGTGTATTTACAAGCTTATAGTCCTTTTTGTTTGTAGCATTGCGTATTGTAGATTTTTCCTTTCTCAGTTCATTGAACTTTTGATGGGTTACGTTTTTATCTTCGTTGAACTTGATTTTATTTTGGCATTAGTAGGGGATTAATTTAGATAATGGGCTAACAATTGATGGGTTTTGAGTTGGGGGGTTTGAGACTTATTTTTCGGCGCTGGGACTCTTATATGTTCTCATCCAATTATAGTGGGCTATTTTGAAGGGAAATTTGGTAGGTTTTAGTTGAATGTGAACTTTGGAGGGACTTATCGGTATTAATAGGTAAGGGTGATTTTGGGCTATGGATTGATGTTGAGATCATTCGTGATGATTTATATAGGTTGGCTTAATTTGGTTTTTGGTTTATTGATTGACGATGAGATCTAGTGGGGGCAGTTCTTTGATAGAGTCATCTACAAGTGGATATAACTTAATGTTTAATGGAGGTAAGGTTGAGATTGGATAGCTTGCTAGGTAGATTGTTCAGCATTTTCAATGTTGCTCTGTAGTGCTGGTTTCGGTTCGATTAGGATGAGATTGAAATTCAATTTGTGAGCAATAATATAGGAGAGATGTCGAATTTGATTGAGATTTTCTTTTCATTCTTTTATTTTTCTCCAATTTTTTTTAGCACTTCTAATCATTTTGAGGTGCATTTTTTAATTTAAAAATGTATATTTCAGTAGGAAAAAATATTCAAGGTGCATATAATTGATGCAATTGGGGACTTGAGGGCTATTAATGCAGAAAATTAAACTTTTTTTTTTTTTTTTGAAATTTCTATTTTCAAGAAATTTCTATTTTCAATATGAAATTTCTATTTTCAATATTGTTTTGGTGGAAAATTAGGGCAAGGATAATTTGATAATTTTGGAAAATATTTATTTTTTTTAAATATGGAATTGGTCGTGGGATTTTTGCTATTAGTTGATATAGGTGAGGGGGGCCTACCAATTTCATAATATTGGATCAACATGAAATATTTAATAATTTCTAAATTTTAAGGTAAATTGGAGTTTTTTAATTGCTATAGTGAAATTACAAGGAAGTTTGCTTTGATTTTTCACCGCAAATAATAATGAATTTGAGGATGTTACTATAAAGTTTCTGAGTTTTTCTTGATTTTTTGAAAATTATTTTAACTGAGAGTATTTTAGTTATATTGTCCAACGTGAGGGGATTTTGTTGAAAATGACAATTTCCGTTCATAACATGATGGAAATTCTACCTTATTATTGAGTTTTTTTTTTTAATTTATTAAGATTTATGCATGCCTTCCAATTATTTGTGATTCAATCAATTAGAGGTCTATGGACTTGAGGTGCACATGTACACATAGGAACATAACATATGGCAATGCGAACACACAATTGGGGGATGGCTAGCGTGTGCACTCAAATGTGCTCGCTTGAATTATCATACAGATCGAATGACACATGAAAACATGCGCGACTACGAAGCAGAGTGAACAGTGCAAGTAGATGAACAAGCCAAGTGGGAACAAAAACAATGACAAGTTACATTCATTAATGAAGCTACGACTAGCTGATACATCAAACAAAACGGAATTATTGATAAAATTTGAAATCTTGAATGAATATTAAAGTCTGCATTTTTGCGAAGATTGACTTCGGAAAAATAATTGAAAACATAGTTTTTCTAAATATAAGAAAATTAGATGAACCTTTATATGATTTGTAGTTATATTTGTTTCATATTCTATGTTTATATGTTTTAGACATTTTTTAGTATTCCAATCATCATATCTTTTTCTGCACAAAAATCATGTATTACTATGTGCCACTCGGATGTTTTTATGAAATGAAATTAGATTTTCTTGAAATATGTACAAAAAAATTATGCAGCATGTATAGATTCTAAAATGATTTTGACTGTTGTGAACCGATGAGCTAAATGCAACGATTCAAACTGAGAATTTCCATGACTCAAATGACAACTAACTCTTGAAGTGTCCACTGTTATTCCATAATTCTTGTATCAAGCTTTGAATTGATAATTGAGCGAATACTGATTCGATCATTCTCCCAACACTTTCAAAGCATATCGAAAACTTTTAAAAATACGTTGGTCATCATCAAAATCAAATTCATATAACTTGAGAATCAAATTTATATAACCAGAGGCTCATAAGATCAACGAAACTTTTTGAAGATTGTGAGGTGACAGTTTAGGTGCTAGACATGTAAATATATAAGAATTGTGTGTTATGTATGTAAATGCTCCTTATTATTATTATTATTATTAAAGAAAAGTCAGGGCTGGAAAAGGCTAACAAACGGTTTCCTTTTGGCCATTTGAGCAGGTTACAAGATGGACCTTCATGACCCAGATTCATCAGCCCTGCGTTTGCAGTTTGCAACTCCGAAACCTAACCAAGGTTTTCATGGCAGGAGGAGATAGATGAGATCCATTTGTCATATTTACCTAAATTAAGCTAGTTTAGGCGTATGTGTTCGAATATGTGAGCCGAGAAGAATGCATATACTTAACATGTGATATTTGCACCTCATTTCTCATCTTTAGCTTTTCTCGCAGTAGGTTGTCATCAATATTTACTGTTTTTGTCCTGTTTTTTTTTATTATTTGATTTTGGGCTGAGTTTCATGGTTGCATTTATACGGTTTAGATTTGAACTCTGGACCTCATAGTCAAAAGAAAAGCCCTCAACATATGAACATATACTTAATATATGATATTTACACCTCATTTATACAGTTTAGAACTTGTTGCTATATTTATCTCTAAAATTTAGGATTAGTAAAAGTTATTTATATTAATCTGCATAATTAGTTAGTTCTGTACATTGCTTTTAAATTTTCAAAAATATAATTTTATGTTATGTTTTCCCAACAAAATTTTATGTATTTATGTATTTAACATTATATATGTATATATGTTTGCATAAAAAATTAAGTTTAGGTGTAAGGTTAGATATGTAAATAAATGAGAATTACTGGTTATGGATATAAATCTTCCTAATAAAAAAATAATATGAATTTCATGTTAAAAAAAAAAATATTCAAACATACTATTGCAATCTCAAATCAGTTTGAATTGTTTGAAATTTCATATGAAGGTGATATGTTGACAAGGATTGTTAAAAGAGTTAAATTTGCGTGTGGCTTAATACACTTTGGCTTCAATTTTAGAATTTATTACATATTTATATATTTGAGATCTAATTTTAGTAATTATTTATATATCATGTATAAATAATAATTTTATAAGATGCAATGGTCTATGGCGCTAAATGTTGGCCTTTAAAAGAGAAGTATAATAATAAGTTCAGTGTCAGTGTTGCCGAGATGAGAATGTGAGAATGATTAGGTGGATGAGTGGCTTTACACTTAGAGAGAAAATGCGAAATAAATAAACTTGTGATAGGGCTGGTGTAGCTCTTGTGACGGATAAAATTAGAGAAAGTCAGCTTAGATGGTTTGGTCACATTAAACGTCGATAATCTGATGATTTGATTAGGAGAGTAGATGTTTTAGATTCGACTTGTGTTAATAAATACAAAGGTAGACCTAAGAAAACCTGAGCTTACTAGAACTAAATGAAAATATGACACTAAATAGGACGCAATGGAGAAAAATGATTCATGTAGCCAACCACACGTAGTGTGATTAAGGCTTTAATGTTGTTGTTGTAGTATTTATATATCATGTAAAATTTTAACATCAAATTTAAAATATAAAGTTAATATAAATTTTCATAAATAAAGTTGCGAAACACAATTAGCAAATAGGTAGCTCACTTTCAGTTGGATGGGATTTTATGTACATGAATGAAAAAATGTATTTAAATTAGAAATTATTTATATTAGTGATATTGATGTATTAAATATTATATTTATAAATTTGTATGTAAGTTTATTTTATGACATTAACGGACGGCTAGGATGAGATCGCGGCCCAGAGTACGCTAGACCTCATGGGCTTCTCTTTCGTAAGGCCAGAATGCGCAAGATCGCTTATTCCGGCGAAGCGCCGCCGTGTAATTCAAAGCTTATTCGGCGGCGAAGATGGCTTTAATCTGAAGCGCGGACTCTCTATTGTCAACAATGGCTGCCCTGAAAATAAGCAGAGCTGTTTCCATCATTCCGAAGTTCGCACCAGTCTTCTCGTCCTCGTCTGAAAGAATTCTCCGACCGTCACCTCCGCCGAAACTCATTGGAGAAGCAGCAGTAGCACCACAAACTGAAGGTCTGCCTTTCCGTCATAACATCCCAAACTGAGAATTGCTCTATCTTGCAATATTCTAGCCTTTGTAGGGTTAGGGTTTTTCTTCTCGATGAATTCAACAGCCTCAAAATGTTTAGTTTCTTACTTTGTCGTTTAGAAGAGAGGGGAAGATGGTCCAAGCTGCCGCTCTTCATTCCTGGTGCTATCGCTTTTGCCCTCGGAACCTGGCAGATTTTCCGTAGACAAGAGAAGGTGATGTATAACTCATAGTTACACATTTTTCTAGTATTCTTTATGTTTATCTCGGTTCTTCTAATGCAAAGTGAAATTTTGTTGGTTTTTTTTTCGGTAAAATATTGGCAATCACTTGTTGCAGCTAAAGCATATTTTTTTTGCAAATTATTCCTTGCCAGATTAAAATGTTGGATTATAGGAAAGGAAGACTAGACATGGAACCCATAAGGTGGAATGAGATAGGTCCTTCAGGGCAGAGTCTGGATTCTTTGGAATTTAGAAAGGTCATTTGTGAGGGTGTGTTTGATGAGGGAAAGGCCTTATTTGTTGGGCCTAGATCACGAAGCATCTCTGGAGTAACTGAGAATGGTTATTACGTTATCTCTCCATTAATTCCAACGGCAGGAAAATATGGCAGGTAAGCATTTGATCATCTTATTTTGGTTTTTAGTCAGTGTTCATACCCTGATTATCACACAAACACACTGAAAATATGTGTATTTTTCTGCTAAATACTTTATTGTTGATGAAGTCTTTAATGTCCATAGCAAGTTTGCAGCATCTGCTTGTGTTTTTAATCCAGATTATCATTTTGAAAGTTTTTTATGAAGGTATTATTGGTTAATCCAAAGCTTTATTCTCTAGCTTCCATGTGCTAACTAAATTTCATTTAAAGTTTTGACAACATTCAGTGTAAGTGCATTCATGGCCATATTAATAGATGCACGATCCAAGGATTGAGAAATATTCATAAAACTCCACTGAGAACTTTTGGGTGAAGAAGGTTATTCAATTAGATTTTGAAAGTTTCTACTATTTGTTGATTTTGTAATAGCCTGTTATATGTAGTCATATTTAATGATTTTATCACTGTGGTCAAAGCTTTTGAAACAGTGTGGTTCCAGTCTAGAGTGGGACTTCTCTTCCTTATCTATCTATTCAGTTTCGAAACCTTAGAGTAGTGACATTTATTCTCTTTGTTTCTTAACTGAACTTATTTAAATATTTAACAGTATTTGTTAACATATCAATTTTTTAAGCAATTGCCAGTGTGCAGCAGCCTATCCTTGTTAACAGAGGATGGGTTCCTCGGGATTGGCGCAATAGGTCTTCAAAGGATTCAAGGGCCTCCGAGAAGTCTTCAGATTCAGAAATAATGGATATCCGACCAAATGGTGGCCGTATTTGGTGGAAATTTTGGTCCCAAAAACCTAAACTCTCGAAGGTTATCGCCAAACTGCATTCATCTATATGATATTTGTAATTCTATATGTTTACTTTCAAGATGTTGAAATCAACTTCTACAGATCATAAGAAGATAAAATACATCTTAATGGCATATTATTACTGTGAAGCTTGATATTCAGTATAACATTACTTCTTCTTTAGTTAGCATTTTTGTTTAATTTATCTGTGAAAATATCACAATAAGCTTCAAATAGTTTCTTGAATGAGGTTATGAACCGATATAAATATTTGAATTTTTATTTGATACATATCCTACTCTGTTGAATTTGGTTTTAGAGCACAGGATTTAAAGTAATACAAGGAATACATGGAATACTAATTTTTCTCTTCATTGTCATTTTCTTTATCTTCATCATGAGTTTCCCATTAATTGATATTAAGATTATGAGTCATTGTGTAGCCATTTACTCCTAGATCTACTTGGTTGTCTCCTTTCTTTTTAAATTTCGTACCATTCATCATTCATATTTATATCATTTTTGTGAATGTACCAATAATTCTTTTTATGATGACTCATATCCTTATAATTCCCTTTTATGGCGGCATGGCTTTTCCTCGTTAACAATAATAAATGTTGATGCCAACTTAGCGGAAATTCAGAGGTTTTGACAATTTTGCATTATGTATTTAATTGATAATCATTTTCTTTTCTTACAATTTTTCTTCAAAATGCGATTCAGTTTTATTATTTTGTTTTTATATAATTATGATATGGATATTTGAAATAATATTGGTTAATAGGCCTGTGCCAAAGAAGTTGCTTATTTAAGAAGAAAAGTGTCAAAATGGTCCTCTGACTCTTCATATGGGTCATTTTGGTCCCGGAGTCTAAGAAAGTGTCGATTTTATTCCTATACTCTTTTAGCGGGGGTTGAAATAATCCTCCTTGGGGATTGTTTTAATACTTTACTCCTTCGAGCATAACCTTCTCCATAAAAGAAAAATATGAATGATTCAATGTAAACAAGCATAACCTAAAATAGAGCATAGAGTGTGAAAATGTTGCTATCTCTTTCATACATGGCCGACAAGAATTTTCTCAATTTCTTTTTGGGTGCTTGCCTTATCCCTGTAGTTTTGGTGGGCATTCTCTCTCTCTCCCCATGGCATATCCGAAGTGTTAAGATCTTGATTTGTTGAGGAAAATAAATGTGACTGTTGTCAATATCTTGGAGGTTTATTCTATATCCGGTTTTTTAATGATTTACCTTTCCTACATTTACAGGATACAGAGCCTCGTGAAATCCCCATAGAAGTTGTTGGGGTAGTTCGCGGAAGTGAAAAACCGAGTATTTTTGTCCCTGAAAATGATCCTCAGAGCGGCCAATGGTTCTATGTTAATATTCCCATGATGGCTCGGGCTTGTAGTCTTCCAGCTGATACTTTATATATAGAAGATGTAAATGAAAATGCCTCTGCAGCTGATCCTTATCCTGTGCCAAAAGAAGTAAATTCCTTGATTCGTTACTCAGTCATGCCACAGGACCATCTAAACTATACATTAACTTGGTAAAGCACATTTCCTCCCATCTAATTTTCATTAGCGCTTGCACTTTTTTTAATACAATTCAAGTAGATTACTTCAAACTTTTATCTTTAGCTTAAGACTTACATGCATACCACTCAATTCCTATGTATTTACATATCCAACACCTAACCTCTTGCTTAACATTGATCTGCGAGCTTATTATGTTTATTTTTACAACTTCGTCTTCACCATCATAATCTCGTAGCCATGTTACTGATTTGTGATCATCGAAATCCTTGACATGAAGTTCATCATCTTGATTTATTTTACAGAACTTCAAATAATATTTGTTGATTATTATTGCGCCTGCTTTGGTTTTTGATTCTAAAAATTTCATTTTTTTTTGTTTGTCATCGTTGTCACCTTTTAGGATTTTCATGTCATGATCAGTGTTAAGCCAATCATTTTCGCCGGCTTTTTGAATAATTTTTCATTCGCTTCAATGACAGAGAGCGCAGTTATCACCTGCCTGCCCCATTTAGCTATAATAATGAAAAAACTGACTTTAGGAGTTGTGGACATTAAGGTTACAAAGATGAATGGATGTGAGGTGACATTTGTAAATAGTGACAACCAATGATTCCTTTATTGCAAACCAGTTGAGGGTCAGAAAATTAAAATTGATAAAAGCCATAGCCATTGAGACATTTAGAAGTGGCCTGGTTTTATCATTTTCTTAGTCTTCCATCACTTATATGTTCATGCTAAGAACTAAAAAAACACCCATACTTTTTTAATATGGGCTGAAATAAATGAGTATTTTAGCCCTCGTTAAAAGAGTATGGGAACTAAGCCGACACTGTTATTGACTTAGGGACTAAAATGGCTCCCTACAAAAAGCCAGGGGATCGGTTTGACACCGCCCGTTTTTGAAAGTTGGAGCTGTGCACCCCTAAACTGATCAAATCTTATTATTTTGTGACTTTCAGGTACTCTCTTTCTTCTGCAGTAACATTTATGGCTTTCAAGAGAATTAGACCAAAGAAGAAGGTTCAAAGATAGCATAATTCATTCACTCCTACAATATAATTGATCTCATGATTTTGAAATTTCACTCTTGTGTAGAGTTTATTTGAAAACTATTATTTGAATAAATATGGTGGGGTCGTCGAAGGATGGCCAAAGTTATAGCCTGTTTGGTCATAATTCATTAATTCCAGCTGCATTATAGAGTTCTGCTTCTCAGCTGCATGTCATTTTCCTGTAACAAGCCTTAATTATTTATTTATCCACACGCAATATTTTGTTTGCAAAATGAACTGAGAAAATTTCATTTATGTAAACTATGAGCAGATATTCTTCCTATCAATTGCTGCTATGTTCTTGGAACGTTGTTTTTTTTTTCTTTTGTGACATGAAATTGAGGTTATATAAAGGGTAATGTAATGTATAATTGTTGGATTCGTAAATGCATGGGAATTTGGTAGTATGTAAATGCCCCTGATCGAAGATTTACATACATACCAATCAATTATTATGTGTTTACATATCTACCTTAAAAAAATATATAAAAGATGTATCTCACTTATTAAAAGAAAAAATAGTATAATTTTTTATAAATAAGCACTCAACTCCCAAGTATTTACATATCTACCACCTAAGCTTCAATTTTTTTTTTTTTTATATTCCACCTCATCCATGCATGGAAAAAAAAAATATTTCATATATTTAGATGTTAAATATGTAATTTTGATATTATACCATTCAGCTGCTACCATGTTGAAAAAATTATGAAATATAAATAATCAGATAAAGATTAAAAAATAAACAAATAAAAGATTGCATATAGCGCTGCTCTTCATCACTGTATTAATATCCTAGAAGATTTTCAGAATCCCAAACATTACACGAATGCAAAACCAGAAATTCAGTTTACAGCTGAACCAACACAATTGTAATGTATCTAAAATAATGCCTGCATAGACTATAGCCTTAATAGCTCAATGTAGGAGAAATTTTGGGTAAATCACGGGTACTAGTTTGTTGCAGTGAAGAGCTCCTTCCATTACATATATTATAGCAGACCGATGTTCCTGTACATGGAGCTTCCCTTCCATTAAATTAGTTACGTAAATGCATAAACGTGCATGTTCCAAACTATAAAAAGAAGATAAATCAGCAAAATGCTGAGAAAAATATTATTTAACATATATTCACCTAACAGGACTATTAAATCATCAAAAGGGTGCTACTATAAGGCACTCCAGGCAACTAAATACAGTAAATAGAGTTTGATTAATAATCAGCCATTTATGTGATTGATTTTTAGTTTATGTAATAAACTGAGCAGACAATGATTATTTTGTTTTTCAATTATACATAAAATAACAATCACGTCAGCTATAGTTGGTAAGATTGGTTTTGTTAAACTGGTCAAATGCAAGCTGAAGCGCCTATTCATAATTTTTGGGAAATTTACATACTACCACACAATTTCTTATGCATTTATATATCTAACACCTAATGCTTGATATTTCCCTTATAACACCTTGGTGTCATAAATACATGCATGTAAAGGCGTATTCCACTTTTTAAAAGATGGTGATGTTGGTATTTTTGATGTGATGTAAAAAATTTGAATGGTATGCATGTAAATATGAATGTTTAGGTTTTAGATATGATACATAAAATTTGTGTGGTATGTGTGGTATGTATATAAATGCCCCTAAATTTTTCTTATAGACGAGTCACGAGGCTAAACTACACAATCTAGGCTGATAGATTGATCATGTATAAAAATACACATCTTTGACGAAGAAAGATGTGTGCATTGGTTTAATAAGGCTGGAGAGAGCTTTCTTATTGTCATACAGCAGAGATAAACAGATAACGAGGCATACTTATGATAGGCGTTAGTTGGAGTTTTTTTTTTTTTTTTTAAACTAGTACTTTTAGGGAAAAAAATATAAAAATAAACATCTGTATAAATTGTGATAGTGTTCTTGAAGATCATCCTGCTGCAAGAAATATGTGCTGGTAATGAAGACAGCAAGTACATTTATTTTTGGAATGCAATTAAATCATGATAGAAGTGTAAAATAAAAATAATAGCAAAATTCCATTAGCTCTGATTTCAAGATCAGTACAATCTGTGCCAAAATGTTTGAGGGAAATCTTGATAGGCAACTGAATAATGGAATAAGTTTCTATAGGATAGAATTGATCTTCGGGAACATTTAGAAAAAAAATTATACCAAAAAATCAAACAGTAAGTGTATAATTTGTGCTCTTTCTCAAAAAATCGTCTTACTGTAGGCCTACATTGCATTGAGTTTCTCGTTTAGACTTTTTTCACAATAACAAATTAAATCATCAAAGATAACTGATGCAAAATCTTCTAGCTTTGTTGCATGCTCAAAGATTATTAAGGTAAAAGAAAAAAATCAAGGTATTAGCTTTATATGAAATCTAGCATATCCAGATAAAAGAAGAGTTTTATGGGAGCCACCAAAGCTTATGGAAAACTCAAAAAAGAAAAAAAACTATGGAACATGTACCAATTAAAATAATTTACTCTGTACATTTGGTTACAAAAATCTGCTCTTCCTCACAAATGGAGAAGAAATAATTACAAAATTGAGAACAATTGTTTAGTCTCATACGACTATGGTGGTTAACAAACAGGAGAAGAAGGATGGGCAACAATAGTCTAGTGGCAGAGAACAGACGATGGTTTTCAAGTGAGGAGTAGGATTACAACAAATTATTGCGGGAGATTGTTAGAATTGATTGTTGGAACTTCAGGTCTTCAAGTTATCCAATTTAGTCTCAAGTCCACATCATGTGAAAATAGAAATCTAAATCTATTTAAATTTTTGAAAATGACATTTTGGTTATTTTGGCCAATCTCAAATTGCTCCATCAGACAATTTGTATTTTTTTAACATAAAACATTTATTCAACATTTAGCATATTAACAACCTCAAAATCAGGTGATCATAAAGTCCATTGAATTCCTCTAGTTAAGGGGCCCAATTGGAACACAAGTAGGTAAAATTCAATGATAATTTTAGTTTCCAAATGATATTCAAAAGTTTTCAAACACACTTTAATTGATTGAATTGGCTTATTAAGATTAAACTCTAATACCTTTTGGTTCCATCGGGCTCTTCAAGTTGAGACATTTTAGTTTGACTGCTTCGCAAGAATCCGACTTAAATGTTCCAAAATTTACTTCCGAAAAGTTTTCAATTAAAAAATTGCACAAGATTTGTGTTTGATTAGATGGTTTTCTGATGCATCAAGCTCCTACTAAAAATTAATGTTTCTATAATCTTCCTTATATCTAGTGATTGGATTTAGTTAGAGCCACAGACAAATGCATTAGACTGGAATACTATCTAAGAATTAGATGGATAACTAAAACAGCTATATATAGAGAACCACACAAAGCTACCACCTACACTAGACGTACCTCCAGAGAAAGAATTGAAAAAAGTAATGGACCAGTGGGGATCACTGAAATGACACTAATACGATTCTGCAATCAGTTCCATCTACCAAAAAGATATATTTTATCGTAAGTATAGCTATCCAACCTCTCAAATAAAATAAAATGTTGAAGGATAGAGGGACTCTTAAATTCTAATATAAAAAGAAAAAGAATATCAAGAATTGATATCATAGAAGCTCAGAAGTGACAACTTACATATGAAAATATCTAATCGGAGCAACATACATACTATTTTGTTAATTATTTGTGAAGCCATCAATGCATTGAAGTTCATAATTATCCATTTCAAATAATATTTGTCAAAAATAAATTTCATCATCAGGAACCGGATTAGCTCTAACAAAAAACTGAATGACATCAAGAAAAATAAAACAAGAAATAAATGCGTCGCAGCAGCAAAAAAAAATAAATTTTGAAGGAAAATGCGAGCAAAATTACATAAGCAAAAGCATGAGGTCTAAAAGCCTATCACTTTGTTCCAACTTTCTATTTTCTATTTTATCCTATTAACTGTTCCTTGAGATATTAAACCTATTCATGCACTTTTCCTTGTTTTTTTTTCTTTCACCACATTTGGATGTCCCTTTTCTCCTTAAATTTACTTAACAACGGTCTATATTTTAATATCTCACATTTAGGGTCCGTTTGGGGCAGCGATGGAGCTGCGGAGCGGCAAGCAGACACAGTTCTGCATCGTTTGGGGCGGCCGGCGGCAATGCGTTGCGGAGAAATTCTCACGATTTAACAAAAACAGGGCCGCGATCCCGCGTTCGTTCGCGTATGTATTACCTGGCTTCCCTCGACACAATGGAATCCATCCGACGATGACCCCATAGAGTCGAGCTCGTCCACCGATGTCGAAGCAGAAACGATCTTCGGTAGAAGGTCCTCACCGAGAAGGCAAACTTGAATGTTGCTTTTTCCAGCTTGGCGTCGCCGAGAGGTTCCTCATCGAGAAGGTCCTCACCGAGAAGACTACTGCTTTTTCCAGTTTGGAGTCAGTGAGCTCGCACACGCAAATCTTTTCTCTCCGTTGGGCACCATGCTCCCCAGACGGAGGCCCTGCATCTCCATTGGAGGCAGCTCTGTGATTCACGAGGCTACAATGGGAAAACGGCCTGTGAGTAGCTGCAGATGTCGAACGACCTGTGAGTAGCCCAGTGGTTCACTAGAGTTCTTAATTTTAGGGAGCATATAATTGAATATTATCGTGAACCTTTTAGTATAATGACAAACTATAGAATTACTAATTGAATATGACCAGAATTGGGATCTAAATGAAGCTCCATGTTAGCCTTCCATGAGAAGCTCCACACTTCTGAAGCATGTTCTGATGCAAGCCAATATGTAAATAATTTCTCTATCAAGTTAACAATTCATCCAGCTTCTGTTCTAAGATGGTTGACTGAAGCTTATGAGTAAGATATTTATGTAAAATATAATTTCTTAATCCGATATTTGTTCAATCTTGTCCATATGTCCAGTCAATTTATGATTCAGAAGAAAAACCCTATATGCATTAGATGACCGTTTATTGTGTCATGTGCTTCGGAATAACGATAACTTAAAACCCTGCTCATTTGCAACAGGGTTGGGAAGAATTTTCTATGCTCAAGAAATCTTTTGAATTTAGTTGAGTATCCATTGCCAACCAAGAAAAAATCCGACTCGAGCTTTTTTGCTATTATTAGTTTTTTTTTTCTTTAGTGCTTTCAGTTCTCACTATTAAGTGAGCTGTGTATCTAAACTTTTATTCTGTTTTGAAATGAATTTCTGCTTCTGAAGTATCAAAAATATGCTGTCACAATTCTGTTTTAAACAACTTTACTAAATAGGGGAAAAATGATCATTTTTTCAGAAACAACTGCCCCACAGTTTTTTTCACACAGCTGTCCCAAAAAGGCAGTCAGCTTCACCGCAGCAGTTTCCTGGGGCAGCGCAGTTACAACTGAAAAGCTGAGAAGCTACAGCTGCGCCAAACAAAACCTTAATAAACACTAATATTATCTTCTCAATCTATCAAATTAGTTCTACCATGCATTCATCGCAATATACTAAAAATAATTGCTATAGCATCTAAATTTAAAAAGGAAAATTTAAGCGTACCACAACAAAATGAGAAATTTCTATATAGTATAGCGACTTGCAAACGAAAATAAATTGTTTTTGGGTTAACGAGGAGTTACCAAATAAACTAAACAATGTGTGATAGTAAAAGAGTTTTAGAACGAGATGAAGAACTTGTTTGGGTCGATATATTTGCAGCTTTTTGTTATGACACAACGGTATGCTATAGCGTCGTTTTAGCGACGCGGTCATTCATGCTTGGACCGCATTTTAGTAACTATTAATTACTCTGATACCCTGGCTCTTCGTTTTTGAGCAACTGACAAGCCATAGCACTTCATTTTCAAGCAACTGTCTGTGTGGAATGCTGAGGGAGAAAGTGATCGGAAGTGTTTTTCTTTGCGTAAAAGGAACGTTCATTCTATATTCTTTAATTTTGTTGGTATATTCTGTATGGTTCTCATTTTCAAGCAGATTCAACTTCCTCTATTAGCTTTTCTATTCATTTGTTCGTTCTGTTACTAT